AATGATACCAATTAAATCCAAGAAACACCATAGACTTGGTTCTAAGAAGAAAGTGGTGCTCTCTCAACACTGGGCAAGTCCTGTGGGATCCTGGGGAGCTGGTCCAGACATTATTTATCCTCTCTGTGGGCTTCTCAGGGAACACATCTGCCCAGGCAAAGGGCAGCAGCATCCTCATTGTCTTGGCATTGTGAATGGTCTCTGAAGAAGCCCTCTGAAACATTTCCCTGAGAGAGTACCCAGTCTGTTCCTGCCCCTCCAGGCTCTGCTTTCCCTTGGCCTGCAAAAAGAACTCATTGTGTTCACATTTAAAAAAAAAAAAATTCTTCATCCCCTAGTAGGTATTAAAACTATTATTCCCTTCAAGCATCTTCAAAAAGTAGTTGTCATGAACTATCTTTATTTTTTCATCAGTTTTCAACTTCCTGCAATCCAGTACTTACCAGATTTCATAATTTAATATCTCTGAAATTAGAAATAAATCTTACATCCAATGGCATCTTTGCAAATCTAAGTGGCAATATTCTTCTGGTTTTCAAGTGGTACATAAATTAACGGTGCATCATTTACAAAGTGGCATTTTAGATTCCATGAACTGTGGTATGTATAATCCATCATTGAAAGTTACTGGATTAGGACCTCTCCAAGGACAAGTCAAAGAAACTGTTTCTTATTTATCTTGTACGGTGGCCTCTCCACACTCAGTGCTCTATTAAGCGATTGATTTACTTGTTAATTTTAAATTTCATCCAGTAGAACTAAATTTGTTAGCACATTTCATCTGAGATGTCTAACAGATGTAAGCTATGTGTGAACCATACATGAGAATGTTGAGGAAGAAATGGAACCATAAAGCAAAGTCCTGCCTATCAATCAAAAAGATAATTCCGGTAATCTTGTCTACCCCTAAAAATTTAACCCAAACTTATGAACCACAACTATTTAATTTGTAAAATATATTTTTTAAAAAATATTTGAATAAAAAATGTCAGTATTCAGACAAAAAAACTATTGACAATACCTAAAGATATTTTGTCAATAATATTATGCAGTTAGAAACTATTCCTGTTGTTCAAAACACATCATCTTGTAGCTTCAGAAAACTATTACTTACCATAGCAAAATAATACCAGGAAAATATTTTGACCTGCCCTATAATATTTTGTGGGTTATTTGGGTTAAAAAAAAATCTTATTGTTTTTATCTAGTTTAGACCAAATAGGTACCTTGTAAAGAAAAATAGGTATAGTTTCCAATGTGACTTATCTTGTATTCTAAACAGGTCAGAGTGCCAGCTGCAATGGTCATTGATGGCCCATGTTCATTCTTAATGTCCCTGTCAAACTGATTGTTAAATAAGCTTAATATCTCCTCCCAGTCACTAATATAATCCCAACTTAATTTATTCTTTTTCAATGTTCATTTAATGTAAGTGACATCATCTCAAGAAATTCAGTAAGAGGAATTTTATTCAAACCCTTTTCTGAGGATGTTTTAGGATCAGTATAATTTCTGTCCAATCTTTGTGCATTATCTCATACTTATATACCTCTACAGTACAACAAAGTGAGCAGAGACAGGAAGGGGATGAGAAGAAATACTATCAACTATCAAAAAGGCCTTCTAATCATTACTCACAGTTACCTAGAAGGCGGCAAGGAGTATAGAAACATTTATAACAAGGGGTAAAACAACTAGATTTCTTCTCAAACATTACTTTATTTCTCATCTCTCCACGCATCCTGCTCCAGTAAGAATTTTCTGTGTAAGTTGAGAGTTGTAGTTTATGAAAAATTTTAACTTGCCCCTTATAAGCCTTATGGGAATCTGAATTGAGATAGCCAGAGATTTCTGGCCAACTAATCATTATCATTTCTTGAAATCTGGATGTTATGTATGCAGCTCCAAGCTGATTTGCATTCTGCACCAGTTACAGGAATAGACCTGCCAGGAAGTTTTGAAATTCAAGGACAGATAGGGTTAAGTCATAGCACCAAACTACAGATTAGCCCAGCAAGGCCCTCCAAATCTTTTGCAATAAGCATTTGGTAATGCGTGGGCCATTTACTTCTAGCTTCCAGGCAGTTCAGCTAAAGGCTTAGGTTAGAGAATTGCAAAAGCTTATGATTCCTCACCGAGGAATGAGATGTGACGCAGTAGAGCAAACTGCAGACATTTAATACCAGATGTTAATGTAAAAATTGGAAAAATTGTGACCCCCACATGGTTATCTGACCCATGGCCTGCAAAATCCCATCACAAAGTCTGTAAGTCATCATTATTCCTGGATTCTTCCACTCTTAACTTTGGGCCTACTCTTTGTAATATAAAATAATAATTAAGTCGTATAACTGAGATAATTAGATCATATCAATCTTGAGGCGTTTCATGCACACACTAACAGAGTAATCCAATTTCTTACCATAAAAATCAGGAGTACAGCTTTTCTGATTAGATTTCCTAGTGACTGTTTATAAATTGTTTGAGATACTTTTATTTCCGTTGTCTGCCTTCCACACCTACCTAACGTCACTAAACGCTGAAGGAAAGAAAGGAAGGGAAGAGATTTTTCTTATTTGCACTGAAAGTTAAAAGAACATCTGAAACATGTATTTCTGAACAGTTTTACAGCCGTTTGCACTTCTTCCCTAAATCTGCACACTTTAAATCTGCACCAACACGATACAGTTTCCACAAACTGCAAAGTGCTCTATAACTGCGAAGAAAATTGTTTAAGCTCCGTTGCTTAAACTTAGATCCCAAGAGAAAAGAGGCTCAAAGAATCTCCTCTAAACCCAGATTCAAGGTAGGGAGGACTTTTAAATGATCCTGTTCTTAACTGGACATGAGTATCTTATTTTCACATCTGTATACTTTTTTGATACTCAAAATGATGATAGAGGAAAGAAGGGTGTAAAGACTTCTTCATGAATCTTTAGCAAGAAACTAAGCATTCAATTGACCCGGGTAAAATGCCACCACAAGGTTTAGCACCTCTATGGTGAGCTGAGAGAAAAACCAGAGACACCAGTGCATCAGGGGCTACTCTAGAGAAATACAAACCAGTTACAGAAGACTAAAGAGCCAGGCCCTGCCCTCAAGAGGACATCCAATTCAGTTTCTTCTCTCTCTCTCTCTCTCTCTTTCTCTCTCTCTCTCTCTCTCTCTTTCTCTCTCTCCCCCCTATCTATCGATTGATCAACCTCTCTCTCTCTCTAACAAAGACAACTGCATATACAAACAGACAAAACTGGCAAGAACAGCTCACAAACTGTGCAAATGAGAAAAGGTCTTTAAGAACATCCTATCCCAATTTCTCTATCAATGGATGAGGACACCAAGGCCTGAAGAAGTCAGGTGGTAGCTCACACAAATCAGCACCATCACTGTGACAAGAAGCCAGAGCTCCTGGCCCCCAACTCTGGTGAGGTTTTCTTGTTCTCACACAAGATGTGAAGGAAATTTTACTATTCAAGGGTCAAATACAATCCATATTTTTCTTTGAGGGATTTATTTTTCAGAGTCACATTATCTCAAAAAACATATAACTGAAAACTCTTTTCTCCTTCCTCCATCCTTTCCTCCATTACTTTTTTCTCTCTCTTGCTTTATCTGTCTTACTTTCTTCCTCTGTCTCTCTCTTTCTTTCCTCCATAGGTATATACATCTGGAGGCAGAGGAGAGAGCCAAAGATAGCAGAACTAAATCAGGGAAACACAATTTGCAATTGCCTGTAATAGCTCAAAACTTGGGCTGAGATTTTAAAAACTCAAAATTATCAGCTCAAATCTTGAATCTAGAAAAAAATAGTTTTTCTTTACAAATAATTTGATAACATTTATGTAAAAATTAAAATTTTATTATTCCCCAGTGCCTTCACTATCACTACTCATCCCTCAGACTTTTCATCTTCATGTTCAAAATAATCCCTGGCACTTGTAATTGAATGACCTTGCAATGGGTGTGTGAGTTTATTTGGATCTCATGGGGCCAACGTAAGCTGATAATGTGTTTCTCTCACAATTATCCACACTATTTGTTTATAAACAGCCTTCTTTAATTTAAACTGGATTTGCAAAATTAGACCATTTCTAATCCTTCCTATCCCTTACACATAGGTCCAGTTGTTTCATTTTACTCTAGAGTCAGATTCTAAGAATGAGTACATTTTCCTCAGCATGTAAAGGAGGGGAAAAAATCAGTGGACTAATGTAACAAAAATCTCCCCAGTGAATTTCCCATGAAGAAGAGATAAAACATCAAATACCAACAGTGCCAAAACATTTACTGAAAGTTTTCAAATATTGCAAAAATATTACAAAAGTGAGCAAACATGGTGAAACTAATGACAAATTAGACACTGAAAACATCTGGTTAAGTGTAGTCAGGCATGTAGGGGAAAGGGAATGTCCATAGGCAGTTGCTATGGTAAGGGACTGCATTTGACTCTTTTACACATATGTCATTTGATCCCATTTAGAAAAAATTATCCCAGACTTGGAAATTTAGGTTTTAAAAAATTGTGACCTATAAATATCACATTACCTCCTTACTCATCAAGTGTCACCTAACTCTCTTAGGAAATGTAACTTTATCTGTCCAACAATTTAGTAGGGACCAGATTAAGGACTCTAGAGTTAGAAGTTGATTTGTAGAAAACCATTAAGACATGATGCTTTATTTTTGCTTTCTGGTAGAGAAATGTAGCTTCTAGGTTATCATTTTATTTCCCTGTAGGATACTAACCAGTTTTATATCTTACTGGCAATTTCATTTTATCAAAGCCTTCCCCACTGATGAAATTCCAGTTTTTTCATATTTTCTTCCAACTGCTCTGTTATACTGATGTTGAGTTAACTGGAACTTAATTCACCTGTTTATGAAAGAATTACATTTTTAATAATTTCAGAATTTGTGCTTTGACAATCATCAAACAACCATGTGAGGTAGGTAGCATGTCCTCATTTTACAGAGGAAGAAACTGAGTCTCAGAGAAGGCACATTATTGCTCAAGTTTATACAGGGAAGAAGTGACAGAGCTGAGGTTTTCACACAAATATGCTTGAATCACTTTATAGGAAATCCACTGGTGATTCATATGTGGACTGAAAATTGGAGCTGAAACATCTCCAGAAATATCAACCTTACCTACATATGTCTATTACATGTTTGACTTATAAACACAACATCTGAGTATCAAAAGCAACTAACTTTAAATGATCCAAACCTGAGTTTTTAAATACTAATTAAAACAATTATTTATTAATTTGTTTGGCTTCAATTCTGAAACTTTAAAAATTGGAAATGTTGAAAACATTTGCCCATAGACTATATGTAATATTATCATTAAAGTGTGAAATTCCAGTGTTTCGCTGATTCTTTTAATGGTTTGGATGATGCTCAGCAAATTACTACTGAGCTTGTTAGAAAAGCCATTGAAAAGTATTTAGAATACTTAGTGGTGAGCCTCTTTGATATTTCATGAGCATGTCCCTACATGACACAGTCTGAGAGCTTTTTGAATAAATTTGATCAAATTACCAGCCTATCCTGCTGCAAAGACGTTCAGTCTTCTTTGTCCCTAGACTGGTAGAAAAAAGAGAAACACAAACACAACTTTGGTATCTTCAGGGATGAAAGCCATTCGTTGTTCTAGCTGAACAGACTGGTAGATATCCAGACTAAAGAGTGACATGCAACCCAGTCTGAAAGCACCATAGTACCTCTAAATCTTTTTTTTTTTTTTTTTTTTTTTTTTTTGAGACAGAGTTTCGCTCTTGTTACCCAGGCTGGAGTGCAATGGCGCGATCTCAGCTCACCGCAACCTCTGCCTCCTGGGTTCAGGCAATTCTCCTGCCTCAGCCTCCTGAGTAGCTAGGATTACAGGCACGTGCCACCATGCCCAGCTAATTTTTTGTATTTTTAGTAGAGACGGGGTTTCACCATGTTGACCAGGATGGTCTCGATCTCTTGACCTCGTGATCCACCTGCCTCGGCCTCCCAAAGTGCTGGGATTACAGGCTTGAGCCACCGTGCCCGGCCTACCTCTAAATCTTAAAAGTATACCTTGGGAAAGGCAGATCTTACATATACATGTTTATCTGTCAATAGGCATGCTTTTCAGCTTGGATATATACCTTTAAAATGTACCCTTTTACCCACCTGAGGATCCACTCAATGTATACGCAGCTTTGCAAGTTTTTCTCCATAAGTAAGATTCTACAGTTTAGGACAACTGGTATCTAGGTTGATTTTTTAAAAACATCTGTACTTGTAACAGTGAGTGTTTCGTCCACCAAATCACAAACTAGACAGTGACTACTGGCCTGGTTTTCCATTGCGTACGCTGCTGTTTGATGGGCACTGGCAGCTGTCTGCCGCAGATTTAAGTTAAGTGAGGCAATCTGCCTGCCCCACCTCTAGCCTCAAATCCCAAACTCTGGAGCCAGTGGAATTTCAGCTCCACCTGAAGTGAAAAGATAACTATGTGGTTTAAATTCATCTTGACTCATAGTTTCACTGTTTTATCCTGGCTAATGCTGCTCACTGTGTCTGTGGTTTTCTTACATAAATTTTCAATCCAGCTAGTGCTATTATAATGTGTCTTTTCCAGCCCTGATGTTCGGGGTGGATTTTTAGCTCGCATATTTTTTCCAGATGTGATAAGCTCTCCATAGCCCTCTTGGTGAGCAAAAGCATATCCAGACCTTCTTGAGCTTGACCGGCGGGTCTGAGGCCTTCGGCTTTTTAGAGGTCTTGCCTTCTTTTGAGCCTTCTGCCACTGGCGGATCTGGAGAGAAACAGACCCAAAGTGAGATGATGCATCCAAATGACAGACTCCAGGCCCTGGACCACTTTGTAAAGTGAAAGCCTTTTATTTTTTAGTAAAAACAACAATGCAAAAGGAAGTTTTAAACCTAAAAACTAAGAAATTTTCCACCCAAAAGATGACACTGGGCACTGGTTCATTTTCATTTCTATCAAGAAACTATTCAGTAATTAAGAAATATCAGACAAATTTCATTATTGTCTCTCATATCTCTTCGATGTATAAGAGATACTTTTGTATAGAAAGATTTTCTCACATTTACCACCCAAAGTCAGCATAATCATTTATAACTTCATTCTTCAAAAAGCAGCCTTTTCCCTCTCTTTTAGAGGTTCTCTGTATTGAACAGTCGTCAATAACTGGACTAGAAGAAAATTTACAAAATGAGTCAGAAATATTCAACTCTTGTGGTAGCTCAACGTATCATCAGATTTCCAGGGTTTTGATTTATTTTAGGTTTGTATGGCCTTTCTAAATGTTCCAGATTATCTGAGTAGGTTTCCAACAACTCTTTCATTTTCCTGTAAAGCTAAGGGAAAAAAGACCTAAGGTTTGTTGTAAGCGACGCTGTTCTCTGGTTTGGAAAATCACTTGGATTCTGACTTTTGTGTCAGGAGAAAGCCATCAAGCAGAACATCACAATCGGACTTACAGAAAAAACGAGCACACCCTTTCTTCCTTAACTCATCCACTATTTTCTGGGTTTATATCAGAATGAGCTTGGAGATGCAAATAGAGAGGACACATATGACAAGGGACTCTGAATTTTTCCAGAAGAAATATTTTTACACTTTGGTCCCAAAATGTCAGAGACATCATGATTAAAATATATATATATATATACACACACATATATATACCTCAGTCTCTCTCAGCATCACTGGCCTGGTCCCAGTCACCATAGCAGCTTGCTCCCTCTTCTCATTATATGGCTAGGAATGTTTATCTCCCTTTCTTTCTCCTTTTCACACTAGGTCAGGTTAGTGCCGACCTAACTTGACATTGTCTTACTTAGATCACATTAGGTCAACCTAACCTAGTCCTGATCGTTAGCCCGGACCTAACTTGACATTGTCTACTTATACTCCTCCCTCCCATGAAATTCTGAAATATATTCTGTTAATTTTCCAATTAAGGAATTTCTATAACCTGTTCTTCCTATTTTCCTTCCAAGTTATATTTCTAATCTACCCATTGTGTATCTCTTACCCTTCTTAATCTGTTCAGAAAAAGGTAATATCTCACTCATGTTTCTGAATCTGCTGCTAGATTTCTACAAAAATGTTAAGCCCCTTTGACTCATGCCATGTTTGTCACCTTTTTATTGTGTCGGTACTTACTCTCGAATCAATCTTTTCCTATAACATGCCTTTCCCATGGAAAAATTATCCAAAAATGATGCCTGTGAGCTTCTTTTTAAAAGTTAGCTTTTAAAAATACCCAGCTTAACTTTTAATTTATGACTCCCCATCACATTTAGTATTAATGCTTCTCTCTTCATTGGCACTAAGGACTAGTACACTCAGTTTGTGGGCAGTCCCATCTATCCTGATGTGATCTCATGTACCAGTAGGTTTTTGCTTGTGACAATTTCATTAGCCCATCTCTGAGCTTCCAATCAGGCAGAAAACGACACCATTTCAAGAGCCAAAGACTTCAAGAATTCATCAGCACTGCGACATACCTGATCACTCAGGGTTGGGTATAAATCCACCTTCAAAAATCTGAATGCCACCACTGGCATAATTGAAGCCACTGTTGTTAAGAGAATTACAAGCCAGATACACTTCTGGGACAGGGAATGTCGTGCATTACCTGTCATTAAAGAAAATATACACTGTAGTTATAAGTAGGACTGAATTATTAATAAATAGGTTCTTTGTTCCTTTATAGGAACAGTCTTTCTTGAAATGGTGAAATTTGGATCACCTAATGTCACCACAATGATAAGAAGGCAGAAGTGCTAAGATCACCCTCAGGAACTGCTTACTGGCCTTACCACTTCAAGATTACCAGCCTGAGCCAAGCATTCTCTCACCCAGGCTCAGTCCAGTATCACTCATGGAACCCAATTCTCTCTTCCAGCATCAAGAACCCATGCTTACAAGGCAGTCATTATTTTTAAAAGGCACATGTACCCTTTACGTTTATGGACTCTTGAAATAAAACTATCATATCAAAACTACACAAAAAACATTCCAGATCTCAAATAATGATTGCACTGATTGGCTATATCATAAAAGGAAAGCTTTATCTACTGCAGAACCAGCCTTGTAAATTCCAGGCAATGGCTTCAGAAAACCTGCCTCAGAGGGACTTGTTATCTGTTTAATGTCATTTGGTTATGAGGTACTCAAAGTTCCAAAATCAGGAAGGCTCCTGGGTTTGTGAAAACAGCATGCCCTCACCAGGAGACTGTTGATGTATCCATCCAACACACTAGGGCAATGGGACAGTGAAACTCATTTCCAAGCCTGCGGCCAGTTTCCTTACTTTTTACTCACACCTCACATACCCCAATGTGAGTTTGAACAAGGCAATAAGGGTCAGTGAGGCAGGCAGACAAGCTTCATGGGAAGATGCCAAACCTGCTTATATCACCAAAAGAAACTTGTGTCCTTCTTCATTTTCTAGAGATTTAGCATCATACCTCCAATTATCCAGGTCCCCTATCCCAGTGTTGAAATGTTACCACCATTCAAATGGGCTTTGGGTATGAGGGCTTGGCTACTGAATGGTATGTCTGCTTTTTCTGGCTTTGAAGGGTAGAATCTGCCTACCCAAGAGCAGCTGATTCCAGCTGCCTTCAGCCATGGGCAGAAACAAACTTGACTCAATAAATTAAATGTCTCTTTGAGCTCCTTGAAGCTTGGTACCCTCCGGCATAGATGGGAAAACAAACTTCACTTTGAAACCACATTCCTGTTTGCTGCTAGCTAGTAAGGAAAAAGAAATTCTTTTCTGAAACCCCAATGTTGATCTAACTTTTAAAAAATTTCATTGGAGTTCAGTAATTAATTACTGAAATGGCATGTGCCTAGCTGGAAAGAGTGGTCCCCACACAAATTACTTTCTCCAGTCGAGGCATTCTAATCTCGTTATGCATTACAATACTCTCTTAGGACTTGAAATGTTCTAGTCAATGCACTGAACTTTTCAATTTGGCAAATGATCTTAAAAAAATAAAACAAAAATAGTTTTAGTGTCTTTCTTTCCTAATATGCTTATTCTTACTCATATCCAACATGTCTCTACATAGTTGGAATCTTTTGGTAAACAAAGTATTACCAGTACATATTAAGTAAGAGTGGTGCAACTTAATGATTTCCATTTACATGTAGGCAAAGGCAGAAGTTGAGGAACATTTTTAAGTGCATGTGTGAATTTAAATGGAATTAAATACAATTTCAGGTGCCTTTGCATCAATGTAAATTTGTAACCTTATAATAATTCTATTTTGGTCCTTGTGGTCTTATTTTGCTTTCTATATGCATCAGTCTAAGAATGTACTTCCTCAATTAGTGGATACAAATCTCATTCTTGCCTGATTAAGTTCAAGAATGTGTTGGTCACTACACATTTCTCTTTTCCAGTTTGTTTAGATGAACTCGGAAACTTCACTCTTAGCAGCTTATTTCACATACACTAGAGATTTCAAAACCTCTGAGAAAGTATATTAATAGCTTTCTTTTATAAAGCTCAGTGGCCTTTGTTGGGAATCATTTTGAAATGTGGAGTGCAATCATAGTATACTCTATACACAGACCAGAGGTATACTCTTTGTAGAATAATAGAATCTCAAGGTTCTAAGAGATTTTAGGGAGTCCTTTGCTGCTTATCTGATGTTTAAATTCCTCTGCAATGTTCCCAAACAGGAATCAAGCCTCATTTTCATGAATAATAATAATAACCATCACCACAATTAACATTTATTTAAAAAGTACTATGTGCCAAGATACATACTAAGTGATTTATATGTATTGTTTCCTTTAATCCTCATAAATTTTCTATGAAAATTTAGGCTTAATAAGAGCCTCAGTTTATAAGTGAAGACATTAATGCGTAGTATAATATTGTGAGCTGTATGTTTGGTCTTTCTCTCTGTTTTCTGGCGAACACTTAAAAAACTCCCTGAAATCCTTAAAGTGGTAAGTGTGTTTTTGTATGTTAATCAGTTGACTGTTGGCTGGAAGACCCTAAGTACCTTCAGGATGAGGGCTGATCATCAGAAAGACTAAGGCGGATGAGACGATTGGGACTTTCAGCCCAGCCTCTACTCTCCTGGAAGAGGAGAGAGACTAAAGGTTAAATTGATCACCAACGGCCAATGACTTTATCAATCTTGCTTATATAATAATGCCTCCATAAGAGCCTTAAAGAACAGGGTTCAAAGAGTTCCCAGACAGCTGAACATGTAGAGGTTCCTGGAGGGTGGGAGGACTGCAAAGGGCATAGAAGCTGTGCACCCCTTCCCCCACACTAGCTCTATGCTTCTCTTTATCTGTATCCTTTGTAATATTCTTTATAATAAAACAGTAAATGTGTCTCCCTGAGTTCTGTGAGCCACTCTAGAAATTAATCAAACCCAAGGAGGGGGTTGTGGGAACCCCAATTTGTAGCCAGCTGCTCAGAAGTACAGGTAAAACATCCTGTGGCTTGCTAGTGGCATTAGAAATGTGTGGGCAGTCGTGAGGAACCTAGTCCTCAACCTGTGGGATCTGACACTATCTCCAAGTAGATATTGTTGGAATTGAATCAGAGAACATCAAGCTAGGGTTCTCTACAGAAACACTTTATTGGTTATTGGTGGGAAGAAATCCCCACTTCTTGGTGACTAGAGGTCACAGAAGTCTTTTATGTTGATGGCTGACTGAGAGTACAGGAGAAAAGGAGTTTGTTTATTCCTATATATTCTTACATGGAAAGAAGAAACTACCTCAAAGTTACAGAGCTTGCTAGGTGGTGGAGCTGGTGCTTGAACCCTGAATGTCTAACTACAAAGCCTATTCCTCGTGCCACTTATGGATTAATGTCCCGGAATTTTCAGAAGGCTCTAAATTATACATAGTTTCATTATTATCTAAATGCAAATAAGTTCTATGGGTGAATTTTGGCAGATGTTGGTGACAATGTGGCATAAAGGGGGAGTCTAGTATTTCTTTTTCTTCTCTCTACCATATATGAACATTTGACAGGTCTTCAGGTCACCCTAATGTATGTGCCATGCCTCTCATTTGCAAAGAGACAGCCTACTACATGCAAACTGTAAAGAACCTGTAAGCTACTATCAGTGATTCTTCTGCATCTAGTAGAGACAGCAGAAACTGAGTGAGCTTTTAGAGCAAGTTTTAAGCCCAGAAGCCTTCAGATGCCTGGCTGAATCAATTTCTGGACAAATGATCACTAATCATCCCCAGCTCTACCCAACACAAAAAAATAAATCATAAGACAAGTAAACAGTAGCATGACACTAGGCCCTACTAATCAACATGACTCACTTACCTACAAATGGAAACTGGTTTGGGAAGATGCCAAAGATGCCATTACTGTGCATTGCAAATAAAATGGAGAAATAAATGGCAACGCTTCCCCAGATGAAGACGTGATTAATGAAAGTCCAGTAACTGGTATCCAAGGCTATCTGTAAATAAAATCAAATGCAAAGGGGAGGTCTTTGAGGATTAAAAGAGCATCATTTTAGGCCAGGCACAGTGGCTCACTCCTGTAATCCTAGCACTTTGGGAGGCCGAGGTGGGTGGATCACCTGAGGTCAGGAGTTCAAGACCAGCCTGGCCATCATGGTGAAAGCCCATCTTTAAAAAAAAAAAAAAAAGAGCATTATTTTACCTAGTGATGTTTCCGAGAACTGCCCTGTGGCAAGAAGGTTGCACCTGCCTAGTTGTCAAGCCAACCACTGGCATCCCCACTTTCTGAACACACCCAGGTGACTGATCTGACTTCATATTTCTGGTAGAAAATTGACTTTAGACCTTCTATATGCAAGCCATTATATCTGCCAAGGTTGAGTCAGAATCAGGAGGTAAGATGTTTAACACATTAAATTTATTTTAAGTGAGAAATATGAAAGCACAATGGTTTAGAATTTTTAAGTTACTTTCTGAATGTCTGTCAAAACTTTCTTATTGGAAAAAAAATTCTTTCTGTAATGGACAAATGCAATATTTCATACTCTGTAAGTAAATTTTCACAATACGATTTTTACACATGCATCTTTTTTACACCAATATCCCAACTCATTTTGATGATCCTTTCTCTTCAATTACTCAACTGATAATAAAGAAAATTCCTCAGCCTTATTTTGACATAAAATTCAGAAACTGGGATTTACAATGGCCTGCGAGCATGGTCATCAGCTCTTCTTCCTTCCAGTAACTTGTTGCGGCAGCTCAGCTAGAAGAGTGGTTTGCTACTGGGGAATCAAGGATGCCACTGGTAAATATGAACACTTGAATTCTTCAGAGAATAAAAAAGTAGGTTCTGGTATCATTATTTGCATCTCATAGGTCCCAAGTGATCCAGGTCCAAGTGAAGGTTTGCATTTCTAGTAGTCTTTTGCAAGACCAAAGGTTTCTCATCTACCTGAGGGGGGCCTATCTGCATAGTAAAGAGATCCCTCTCAACAGGAGACATAATTCCTCTTCCCACCTGTAGTTTACTGTCCCTTAAAATGTGTCTCCATTAAAATGATGCTGGCAGCCTTTGATGTGAACTATAGGGTTTATAAAAGTACAGCCTTTCCTCTCCTCAGGAGGTCTGAGAACAGCCCTGCCATCCATGCCTCAGCAAAGACAGGCCAGCTTTCCAGTTCAGCTAGCTGCCAAGACATTTCACCAAAATCTCCAACTTTACCTTCCACCATCTGTTAGTTTAACACTCTCAAGAGAAAATGATAGACTGATCTGTATGGGTAAGAGTAGGCAAACAAAAATTACAACCTCTTTAAAAGGATTCAGCTGAAAGAGCAAGAATAGGTGGCTCCTATTGAAGCAGAACTAATAGAAGAGACAGACAAGTACTACAACAACAACAAAATATCATATGACCCCTTAAGAAGATGCAATTAGGTCACAGAAAAAAAAATCTGAAAGAAAATCACACTATTTCTGAATTTAAAAATTCAACAGCAAAACCAAAGAATAGTCACTGAATAGAACTAAATTAATATTCTGGACAAAACAAATACAAATATTATCTCACAACAGAGAAGAAAAACTTAGAGAAATGGAAACCATTTACAAAAAGATGAGACATGAACAGCAAATTCACAGATCTCAGATCTGTGACCCGAATATACAAATCATGGCATTTTAGAAAGCTAAAAAGGAATAAATAGAAAAGTAACAATCAAAGAAATAACAAAAGAAAACTGCTCTGTGGTAACAAACAGCATAGATTTTCAGATTGAGAGGGTCTTTTAGGTCCCATCCAAAGTAATGAAACAAGATTCTGGTGACATAACCTTTTATACAGAGAAGGAAAGAGAATCAACATAACATCAAACTATCACAGTAAAACTGTGAAACAACACAAAATTATTGAAACATAACTACAAAGTGAAGCAACAACAAAGTTCCTAAAGAAAAAGGCCCTGACTCAAGGATCTTATGCTTATCCAATATAGCATGTAAATGTAAAGGCGAAAAAAAAGCATTGAGCTTAAAAGTATAACATCTCAATACCCTTTCAGAAAAAATTACTTAAGGACATTCCTGCAATGAAATAAAAATTTAAACAGTACAAAGACCTCAAAATGGCAGGAGACAGGGCCAAAAATGTTGGTAAGCAATGGTTTTTATAAATGTATAGTTAGTTCTAGATGAGTTATAATGTATGAGAGGCAGTATCGATTTGGAAAAAAATGGTGATAGTAAGCAAATATGTTAAAGGTACATTTAATAAAATCCTGGAATTAAATTCTAAATAATTAACATGTAAGAGTTGGGGATGGGAGTAGCGACAGAGAGAGATAAGCAGGATAAAAACATTTCCAAAACTGTTTAATTGGAGAGGCATAAGGAAAGTGTTACAACAAGATAGTGAAACATTTGATGAAGAACAGAGTTTCCATATTATGTATAGAATTCCATTCTGCCAATATGGAAATATATACTTAAATAACTATGAAAATAAGGAGAAATAAAATAAGAATAGTAAAACTTGTACATTATTCATGATAAATGGGATTTTTTTTTTTTTTTGAGACAGAGTCTCACTCTTGTCACCTAGGCTGGAGTGCAATGGCACAGTCTCAGTTCACTGTAACCTCTGCCTCCTAGGTTCAAACAATTCTCCTGCCTCAGCCTCCTGAGTAGCTGGGACTATAGGTGCCCACCACCATACCCAGCTAATTTTTTTTTTTTTTGTATTTTTAGTAGAAACTAGATTTTGCCATGTTGTCCAGGCTGGTCTTGAACTCCTACCTCAGGTGATCCACCCACATTGGCCTCCCAAAGTGCTGGGATTACAGGCGTGAACCACCATGCCTGGCCAGAAGTGGGATATTTTAAAATTGCAATTAGTGCATCCCAGTATAAAAAAGGAAAAAAAACAAAACAGAAATTGAAAAACAGAAAAGTAATCATAAAATAATATTAATATAGCATAATAAAATACAACTTATTGCAATAAAAATGAGTAGCTTGAACATTCTTATCAAGGAAAACTAATAGAATGAGACAAGAAATAAATAAAAATTAAAAATTTGGCCAAGAGTATATATAAGGCAAATGCAAACTAAAAAATCAAGAGAAGCAAACTAATATATAAAATAAATCTTAAGAATCTTTTATTATGAAAAAAGATAAAAGCTACAAAGACAAATTAATAATCAGAAACAACTATGTGACAAAGAGTATAGCTTAAATTATATGAGGTAAAAACCACTTTGAAAACAAGGAAAACTTAGTAGGAATCATCATCACAACAGCAAACTTTAATATGCTTTTCTCAGCATTTGACAAACTTGGCAAAGGTGATGGCTCTTCTGGAAGTCTGTGACTGACCTTCTGGCATCCCATTCCCAGTGTGATCAGAGCCAAGCTGTAAGAGGTGATAATAGTGGTGTTTCCACTGAAGCTACCTAATATGTTTTAATAAACTTTTTTTTTTAAGCTTAAATTTTTTAAGTGTCTGTCATTTGGAACTACTAGTTTTTCTGGGAAAATATTATGGCAATTTTAATGAAAATGTAAAATGTACATAGTCTCTGACCCAGCAGTCAGATACCATTCTTTATCTAGCAGACTCATAAAAATTAAGAGTTTTAACCCCAGAAGTCTCATTTTTAGAAATCTATCTGACAATATATAAAATATATGTTCTAATATATGCATTGTAGCATTGCTTTAATAGCAAAAAAAAAAAACACACATAGAAACATCTTGTATGTTTATCAATGGATGATAATTATACATTTGTATTATGAATTTCTGTACAGCTATTAAAACAATTAAGATAGATCTGAATGTGTTGATATGGAAAGCTGTCCAGATGTCTAGTTAATCAAGAAAAGTGTATTACAGAACAATATACATAATTATTATCTCCTTTTGTTAAATATGTGGAAATGTGGCATCTCAAAGCAAAGAAAAAATATAGAAGGATTTAGGATATAATCATCGTTATAGCAGTTAAAGAAGGGAGGGAAAGGAAGATGGTTCATTTTATTTTAATCACTTTTGTACTCTTTGAAATGTTTAAAAGAGCATTTTGTAATTCAAATAATTGAAAAATACTGTTGTTGTTGTTGTTATTGTTGTTTTTAAATAGTGACTACTTAAATTTGGCCTGTAATGTCAGCAGGACATAAGATTTATAACTGTAATTACAGACCATGGAAATTTAATGGACGTTGTTACCACAATGAAAAGTCAAGCTTAAACAGTGAGGAAAGGATATTAATGCTGCTGTCAAAGTGAGCTTATTCATAGAATTTTTGAAAGTTACTATTTTATATATCAAGACTACAATTTTTGATTGAAGCCAAAATTACCTAGCTTCCATGGTTACAAACATTTACATACTTGGGTCTAAGAACTCTATGGTAAAACAGACATTTTTAGGGCTTCCTAGAAATAAAAATGAGTGGCGATTTTCCCAAAAAATTAGACTAAAATGACAGAAACTGGGAATCTATATATTCCTCAAGTTGAAACTCTGCCATCAAAAGAAACATCTATGTGCTTGTCATCTATTAAGTTTGTCTCCCATGCTAGCTAAGGGTGATCCCACATGAATGAAGGAGGTGGGGACCATGAACTCCCTGTAGCTACTATGTGACTGGGGAGGCCCACAGCTTCTACTTTTCTTTACTTACCTACTATGTGACTGGGGAGGCCCACAGCTTCTACTTATCTCCCTTTATCATGTGAAGGGAGGTTCACATGGCTTTGGAGCTGGGGATCTGGAGTCAGAAAATCTCTGTTCAAATCCTGGCCTACCACTTTTTGTATGACTTGAAATATAACTTAATCTTCTTGCTAAATCTATTTTCTCAATGGTGGTAATAGTATTTACATTTCATAGGACCATAACGATAATTAAATGAGATAATGGAATTATTCCAGTATCTGGCACATTATCTGGTATTTCCTTTATAATTAGTGTAAGGTCTGTTCAAAT